CGCTGACACTTTTTTTTCCGTGCGGTGTCTCAACCATTCTGACCCTATTTTATTTTTTTGGATGGAAAACAAGCCAACTTTATAGCTCGGAATTCATACGGAATATTCTACCGACAGAGAGGAAAAATCAAGGAAGTTTTCAAAAAATTACATTCTTTCGTTTTCCGAAGAATTGTAGACTATGACAGGAAGTCTGCATTCTCTCAAACGTGGATACGTGGTTTTACATTTTGGCCATCGATTTAGCACTGCAGTCGACGTGTTTTCGTCTGCTTAGTGTTTTTTTGTCTGCATTGGGTGTTTTAACTCGCGAAAATTAAAGCGATCTCGCCCGAACGTCAAATTCGTCGATTAATGTTACAAAATTAGGTCTGATTCCATGTTTTTAATTTGTACTGCGTATCAAACTTTGCTTGTATCTTTGATCTCTTATAGTTTCCCTGAACAAAACAATATTCCGGAAGGAAGTGCCAAAATGTTGATAGTTGTTAGATTTTCCCAACAGATAAGCGATGAAAACAGCCCGAGCAACTGAGTTCTCCTTCAATTACGGGGCTATGCAATTTTAGCCACATCGAAGTTAAAATAGTTGTATCATGTGTCTTGTCCCTTTTGAGCGATCTTCTCGACGGAAGTTCGTTTCGCCTTTCGCTCTAAAACAAATTGTTAGATCAGTTAAACTCAATTCTTATTATTGTTGAAGTTTTAATCCCTTCCCCTGGCCTGCCCTAGCTCTATAGCTATCATAAAATGGATCGGTTAATTCCAACCACTTTGCACTAATTGCAAGTCCTTGTTTCTCTGACTCCGTTACAAATTATAAGCAGAAAATTTAGGGAGACCTTACACAGCAAGCAAACGGTTTGATAGTCAACTGAATAATTGCACGCTCTTCAACTATAGGGGTTTTCCCTTCCTCTTCAATGCCTGGAAGTAAAATTATATTATAACAAGTCGTGTATTTTCATTCCAAAAAGTTGATAATTAAATTGCCGTACCTAATTGACTTTAGAACTTCTCAGTCATAATGACAATCCTAACTCGTTTTTTGTGATTTGACCCTCCATCGGTGTTACGAAAGTAAACCGGGAAAACCAATACAAAGAGTCATGAAAGATTTGGGAAAAATTGGGGAAGTAAATGAAAGCTAAGAAAGTCCGGGACTTTTAACCATGCATTGCCATGGACCTTTTTGACTCGAAGTGAAATAGGAGGTTTTTTTTGGGAGGGGGGGGGCAATTAGTTGATCTTTGTGACTCAGTATGAACATTCACTGACAAGATAAGGCTGGCTACTGGTCAGTAGGTCAGTAGGATCGTTTTATTTTCGCATAAATGTGCAACCGTCCACAAAATTATACTCGGCGGGGATTTCTCAAGTAGTCGCGATTGCGGCATGCCGCAAAAGCATAAAATATGTCTTTAATTGGTGGAATAACGGGATTGAAAGAAGGGCTGATTGGAAAGAAAACTAGAAAGGACAGGTCTGCTCAATTTCTTTTTCATCTCCCAACATGCACTCTCCTTACTTCTCTTTTCTCCCTCACCTTCTTCGATTCTCGAAACGGAAGAGCGTCACTGTTTCGGCGTGGTGAATGCGGACAGACATCTAGTTCTCCTTCAATTACGCGGATGTGCAATTTCTTCCAAATGGAGGTTATAATAATTGTATGGTGTATCCTGAACCCAGTGGGCGATTCTCTCGATGGAAGGTTGCTTCAAATGTCAGATCAGTCAAATCCAATTGTTATTATTTTTGTTGTTTTAATTCTTGAAAGAGGTTGAAGAAAATGATGTATTTCACCGGTGGCGTTTGGTTTTCATCCTTTTGTCTCTTAAATTTACGAGGTTATCGTAGATCCCAAATTTATCATGTCAGAAAAGTGATTTTTAAGTGCTCCGTCAATTTGCTTAACATGTAATTTACCTCTCGCTTTGAAGTCAAACGTTGGACGAACCGAACTCAACTAGTATAGTCTTCATACTTTCTATTCCTGGAAGAAGCTGAAGGGGATAAATTATCGCACCAATAGTGGGCGATTTTTTTATTTCTGCCGTGGACCTGACTGCGAAACCGCGAGAATTTATCCTTTTGAAGAAGTGCCTTCTAAGTTCTCCTTCAAATAGGCGAATATGCAATTTAACCTACATAGAAGTTAAAATAGTTGTATCACCTCTCTTGTTTTCCATCAAACATCATCTCGACGGAGGTTTGTCACACATCCCATTTTAAAGCAAACTTTTTTTCAACTAATTATTACTTCCGTTTTCATTTTGATACTTCCAGCTCCTAGAAAAAGATGACGGAGACCCAAAATTCATGAAAAAAGCAGCTTTCCGTATTAACGTACTCTCCAAAATACTCGCACAGGGAAATACGATTATTTTGAAGAGTGGTCTTTTCTGTTCTCTTCCGTAATTCTTTTATAACTTTCGGAAAGAACGCCGATACCTATTTGGTTTTTTCAACGGTCGTCAGAGGTATCATTTCAAGAAAAAGAGAGCAAGTGAAGTGTATTTTCTTTCGAAAAAGCACCCGTTTGTGTCCTCTTGTGGTAGTATCATTGTACAAGCATGCGAGAAAATTTGGTCTACTTTATCGATAGAAGTTTTTCCGGCCTATTATCCTAATAGTACTCTTTTTCCTCCTTCTGTTTTTTCCGTGTTGGAATTGTGTTGAATGGGCGCCAACTTAAAATGCCAAGCTATCTTTACTCAGCGTTTAATCATGTTTGAACTGAATTAAAAGCATAAATGGGCGTATTTATGCTATAAAGAACTAAGTGCATAGGGTTTGCGTATAACTAAGTTCCTTTTAGCATAAATACGTCCATATGGGGAAATTCCCATCATTACTCTCCCACAAAATATACGACAGGTTATTTACCAATTGATACACTCTAGGTATCATTAAACTAGCAGTCGTGATTTTTTTTTTCTTTTTTTACAATTGCGTCGTTCAAGTCACATTTTTGTCTTGAAGCAGTGAGAAAATTACGTACAAAAGGGAGGATGCTGATAAGATGTTGTCGTCAGTGCTTTGATTGATCGGTGAAAGGTTATTTCATTGCAATGGGTCAGAAGCAAGTCAGAAGCACTATACAAGCGCCTCTGATCCATTTGTGTGTGTTGGCGATTGATGGTACACAGATGAGCAAGAAATAAAAAGTCTAATTTTTAGAGTGTCCAAACGCATAGTCATGCATTGCGGTCAATGCTACATTTTTAAACTTTTAGTGTAAACAAATTTCATCGCATTTCGTTAACTTAAAGAATTAGTTATCCGTGGTCAATTTTTAAACATCGGAATGTTTTCAACGTTACCCTCTTATTAATCAAAATCCGTGATACTTTGCCAAATCGCACTTAGCAAAGCGCCACTCATCATCCAGCCTCGAAAGTCTGCCAACCCTATCCTGATGATTCCTAGTATTTGTCTTTTCATGATTAGCAGTCGCGGCAAGAAGGTTCATGGATCCTCAGTAAAGTAACGGAAAGGAGGTTCGTTTTTCTCGACAGGACTCGAGCCTTGACTTGAGATTGAATGCGCGATTTTACAAGTAACAGAAGAATCTCATGAAATTTAAAGTTAATTTCAAGAACTTTTTGAAATCTTACACGCGTATTTTAAAAAATTGTATTAATTGTTTCAGTAAAACTTACAATTTCACACAAATTTCCAATATATCTATCTGAATGGATGGGTATCGACAAGGGTCGTTTTTGGGCCCGCCCTGAATCTTGGCCATTTTACGATTTTTTGCTCATGAGAGGTCCATATTTTTAGGAATTCATTGTCATTTCGTCATTTTTGGTCTCTTTTGGAGTCTATACCGACCTACGTATGGGCCCAAAAGCCGAGTTTGCGGATTAATGCGGACATTGGCGGATCCAGCAAATTGGCAACATTGTCTTTTCTCCATTTAAACCCACGGAAATGTATCGATTCTTGGAGGGGCCAGGTGCTCCGATAAGAAACGATTATTTAGCATAGGTTTAAATGGGGTAAATCCGGTGTTGTCAAGTTGCTAGATCCGCCTCTGAATGCGGATTCTTCGGCATACGACTTCAAACCCGAGAAACTCGCATTTTCGCGCCAAAATTCAGCGCCATGTAGGCCGATACTAGACCGAAAAGCGATCGAAAATGACCAAATCATGATGCATTGCGTAAAATATAGACCTTCGATAAGCTCAAAATCGTAGAGTTGAGGAAATTCAGATGAGCCCTTAAATTCTCCTGTCGAAAAGCCTCCTTTCATGCAAATTTGTTGTAAATTCCAAAGTATCCGTGAAATTCTAGAAATATTTTAGGAAATTTCTGAAAATTTACACAAATTTCAAAACATGCATGATTTTCCATGCAAATTTCTGTCATTTCCAAAAAATCTGTGGCCTTTTACGCCAATTCCTTAAATTTTGTATAATTTCACTTCAATTTCAAAAATTTTACGAAAATCCAAAAAATATCTGCCTGAAGTCTGACAGGAAACATATTATGGAATAGTTTATCTCTGCCCCCGTCCTGGGTCAAAAATCCCAAAAAACTCTCCGCCTGAAATCTGACTGGTAATTTATCATGAAATAGTTCATCTCTTCCCCTGCCCCTGACCAAACATGAACTGATAATCGATCCTAACCGCCACAAATGTATAATTCCACGTAAATTTCAAAAATTTCACAAAAATCAGAAAAAATATCCGCCAGAAGTCTGACAGGAAACATATTATGAAATAGTTTACCTCTGCCCCTTCCCTGACCAACCACGAGCAGATAATCGATAAAAATCGTCGGAAACCGGAAAATCGCGCCATCCACATCACCGCCGGCTCAACGGCTCACCAGTCACCGGTGCTCCTATTCGATTCGTCGGGCGGTGCTTTCGTCGCCGTGGCGCCACCTCCCCCCTCCCCCTCCCTCCCGTTAAACTGCACCCATCGGGACCCGACCCGGCCGGCTGGAGCGCCTCGCCACGGCGTCACCGCCACGCAGTCCCAAGCCGAGCTCCCCGACCGCGGTCAGTGTTCCGACTTTCTCGCGCGAGAACTTGAGAACTTCGACTCCGCCAGTCGCCCGACCGGACCGGTTTCCGTCGTCAGTCGTCGTCCGAAGGCCCCGCCGTCGAGGTTTTCGACAGTCAAAGTCGACCGGAGAGCTTTGAACTTGATCTTGTCGACGCTCACGTCGAGTGCTTTTTTTTCCGGCGGAGATTCGTCGGTTTCCGGTGCGAAATCATTGGTTTTCGGTTAAAGTCGACCGGAGAGCTTTGAACTTGATCTTGTCGACACCCAAGTCGAGTGTCTATTTTTCCGGCGGCAATTCGTCGGTTTTCGGTGTGAAATCATCGGGAAGTTGTGACGCAACTAAGTTTGCATTTTCCACGAAGTTTTTTACCCGTCGTCTCAAGTGCGGCGTTTCACCATTGGATACGCGAACACCGTCTTTTACACGGTTTTAACCTGACTTTGTGACTTGTCAGCTCTGTGTTGTCATCGGAGTTCGGATTTTCGTCGGAACTTTATACCGTCCAATTTCAGTGAGAATAGCACTCTGTGCGTGACAAGACACTTTTTCGGAGAGTGATCGCTTTTTGACCTTTTTTCCAAAATTGAATACTTGACAGAGTTGTGTTTCGATCCCTCCAGAATTCCTGCGTCTGACATAGTGCCAAACGGAAAATTAATTTTTTTTCAGCCTTTGATATCGACTTTTGATCCGTAACGAAGCGTCGTTTTATCTCCTCGTGACTCTGACGTCATAAATATTACTCGTTTTTCGTAATAAACCTTTTTTCAACCGAACCCTCTAAATTTTTACGCGTAAAGCTAGTCGTTAAACAGGCTCTGTGTTGATACTACGTCCTAAAAAGCCAAATTCTCTTTAAAGCTCTGATCGTTTCCCTTAACCATTTTGACACTGATTGTCGTTTGTTTGGGCTGATTATCATCACTACTGACCTTTTTCATTCCATCTCTCCTTGAAGTACCTCCGGATTTGACCCGCGATCGCGCTTATGCTTCGGGATTCGTTCTGTGCAACCGCGGCTGATATTGTTTCACATCTTCGAAAGTGCGATCAGTCGATCAGTCCTGATCTGGGGAGCGGTCGCCGTGACTTTCTCGCCACACGTCTTCAGTGATCGCGCTGATCGTCCCAGCGCCGGGCGTGCTCTTTCCGGGCTGATTGTGAGTGCGACGTAAACAATCAGACGCTTAACCTCAATTCGCTCCGAATTCCGGAGGATGGTTTCAGTGTTGTGTCCTGGTGAAACTCGGAGTGCTTATTCTTCGTGATTCGAAAGCTCGTTTCGAACCGATGGTGCGGGAGCTTTAGGTGATTTTTTCGAGTCGAATTCAGCTTTGAAAGTTTTTCAAAATGCCGCCGAATCCGAAACAGTGTCCGGCGAACATAATGCATCCACCCGTCCCATTTGTACCCATTGAGGTGAGTCGTTGATTCAGCATACGTAATACTGCCGTGATAAGGAAGAACGTCGTATGGACCGTCGAGCGTAGCCAAATTTGTTCCAGTAAAATATCTGTTTTCAAGGAAAGTGGTGATGATTTTTCCTTTATATTTTTGAAGTTAGATTTTATGAAGACTGGAAAAAAACACATTGGAGTCCAGACTCTTGAAAACATTGACAAGAAAAAACACTCGATTCAATCGGATTTTTGCTTGAATTAAAACGAAATCCGCTTAAATTAAGAGGCTTGGTTTTTGATTTAAGCTAGATTCTCATTGAATCAAGAGTACTTTTTCTTGTCGATGTTTTTAAGAGTCTGGACGCAAGTTCCAATGTGTTTTTTTTTCCAGTGAAACATTTCAAGAAAAATACTCACCGAATTTGTTTTAGTAAAATATCTATTTTCAAGGAAAGTTATGATGATTCTTCCTTGAAATTTTAGCAGTTAGATTTTATGAACAGTTTTACAAACAATTCTCACAAGTTATCCAGAAAATGTGCGTGTTTCATAAAGGGATACTTGGCAACGTTCAAAGGCTCATACGAGGTTTTTCCCAATACGACCAGCAAAAAAAAAAAAAAAATGAAAAGCGACCTCCCATCAAGAGGAAGGGGAGGGGGAGTTTATCCATGGCAGAAATATAGCTCAAATCTAATGGATTCTCCAGAAGCTATAACATCAGCATTGAAATTGTGTCACTCTATGGTGTCAATGTCACTCTATATCATACCACTCGCGATACGTTATCGAAACGTCAGGCGAAGAAAGGGGGGGGGGGCGAATAACGTTTTTATTCAAGCATGGATCAAAGAAGTCTCGGCCTCTCAACTTGCTGAGTCTGAATGGATGAGGTAAAAGAATCCTTAGGGATCCTCCTTTATTATGTTTTGGGTAAACTAAGGGCTAAGATTTTACCACGAAAGTGTAAATTATAGCGTATATTTCCGCATAATAATCTGAGAAAGTTTGTGTGAATTTTTACTGGGATGTCTGTTTACGATGATGCGGTTTTCAAATGTGGTATGAGGATGAGGTCGTCTGAAAAATCCATCTCTCAAGCACGTATTACCCTCTTTTAGACACAATAATTATGGAATCCTCGTGTCTTTCAACCCTTTTTCGCCCGAAAATGTTTCTTTCGCTACATCTCAAGGTCCGTAGGAGAAAAGAGCGGCCCGATTTTGCAGTGCCAATTTTGTCAGAGTAAGAATGATTTTGACGAAGGTCATGATATTGCAGGTCGTCCAACTGATGACCTATAAATCGGAACGATTTTATCTGCATCGTTCAGGTATCGCGTTTTTCTTGAATGACTCGTCGCTCGCCAAAAAAAGTACGCATCTAAGTTATTTCTATCAATTCATGAAGTTTGACTTTGTTGAAAATTCGTATGCAGCTTGATGCACCTAAATGGGAACACGTGCATTTTTTGATGAGGCTTAGAACACTAGTGCCAACGCGTAGCTCAAGGCTCGTCTGAAAATGGACATGTTTCCTTCTGGAGACAACTCGTTCACTTCAAGCAGAAGTTAATTTGACGTATTTCTATCAAACGGAACTATGTGCATTAAGACATGAGCCCCGAGACCCTTAAGAATATGTGCATAACAGGGCTCACGTCATAATGCACATAGTTCCGTTTGATAGAAATACGTCCAATTTCGAGGATATCCGCGGACTTTCCGTCCAATTCTGAAATGACGAACGAAGTCTCGAGGGATCTGTTCAGCAATTAATATCCACTGTAACAGAGCTCAGCACTAATCCGCTAACATATGTATTTGACATCTATCGTTAAGCGAAGATTAGTAGCGTCGGACTCTTCAAAAAAAAAAAAAAAGTGGTGTCTAAAAGAAATTTTAAATATTATTTTTTCGTTGCCGGTTTTGTCGAGTCTTCAGAAACTTCTAAGGGTCTTATGTAAAGACCCATCGATGTCGAAAATACGGGTATCGCTGGAATCTCAGCCTAAAAGCTGGACCAATAATAGTATACCAGCCCCACTGGCCGTAAATTCGGGGTTTTCCGGCTATGAAACCTACTCAGTGAACTTGTTTTTGAAAAAGTTTCCGAATGTTGTCCGACTTCTCCTCTTGACTCGATCCACTGCGCGGCGTTTTTCCTGATCACGGCAGCGAAGCAGCGCGTTACTTGAGATCAACGAAAATGAACGGATGTTTGTCCCACGTCTCCAGGCCAGGATCGGTGAATCCGAGACCCAGTTTAATCAAACCGGGGTCCTCGGGCCCAGGTCGGGGGGCCGTTGAACCCTCCCGCTCGCGTGTGGGAGGGACATTGGTGTAAACAATGTCTCTTGTCTCTTGTCTCTCGTCCTCTGTCGCCGGAGCACGTGGATCGTCATGCGCCAGGGCGGATTCGCGGATTTCGCGCAAGCGAGCCGGGCTCGCCCATCCGCGCGCGAGAGTTCAGATGGAGACAATAGCCTGAATATAATTAATTGCCCCCGTCGTTAGTGCAGAACGGGGGCGTTATTGTGGGATCAGGGGGGTAGTTTCTCCGATACGCAGACATAAGGTCTACAGCAAAAATGCTCACAAGCAGGAAGTCTAAATCTTTTGGTCTACATTTACAATGTCTAGAGCTAAAAAGTCCACTACGAAAATGTCTACAAATAATATAATGTCTTCTAAAAAAAAAGTTCATACTCAGAAAGTTCACTTCTGAATGGGAAAGATAGAGTGAACTCACATCAGTTACTTCTTTAGTTGTATCTATGGAGAAGAATCATCTTGTATTCATTTTCCTTTAATAGACGCGTTATATGTAGACATTTACTTTCTTAGGCATTCTAAAAGTAGACTTCTTGATTGTAGACTTTTTGACTGTAGACCAAAAAACGAAGACCTCTTTTGCGTAGACCTACTGTCCGTGATTCGTTTCTCCCCTACATGATCCGTGTACCCTGTACCCGTGAATTTTTTTGAATTGAGATCGTCCGAGAGTAAAGGGACGCAGAGTTAAGCAGCCCAAAGTATTGACGAAAAGTTGGTAATTTTGGGAGGAAGGCTGCCGAAGAAGATGCTTGATCGGGCTCCTCCTGGGAGGAGACGAAGGGGATGCCCGGTGAGAGGGAGGTGAAAGGGGTTTTTAGAAGAAATCTGGGTACACGGACTTTATGTCCACTTTTTTTACGTCCACAGACTTCTCGTCCACAATTTTTACGTCCACAGTTTTAAAACCCACACTATTGTTAAGTCCATCACTGAAACGTCCACTAAGTTAAGTCCCTAAATGTAAAGTCCACTAAAATCAAATTCAAGCGTCATATTTTAGTCCGTGTGTAAAATTATATTCACAATATCGAAATGAGAAAATTAAGAGATAATTGGGTGTTGTTATCGTAACTCATGTTTTTAAATGAAATGCTGATTTCTTTTTTCGATTCATCTTTTCAAATTGTCAAATTTTTTGTTTTTAACTTATTTGTACATCGACTTTCTTGAGTCAAATACGTCCACTTTTGAGCGGTTAGTTGCGCTTACACCACGCTGCAGCACAGTCAGAGCCCAAAACATAAAAGAATCAATATGAATGCTTTGGAAATCATTAAATTTGACACTAAACGACTACTATATTTACAAAAAACACATTATATTTTCCAGTAGTACATATTTCTTTTTCATCAGTTTAAAAGGGAATAATCAATGCAGAGAGTGCAAACATTTCAAAATCATGAGTTGAAAAACGCTGACTCCGCGAGTTTAAATGTTAGAGCCTAACACAGAACGGAGCGGCGCACATTGGGACGAGCCCATTACAGAAACGGGACATTCACGGTAAAAATGAAAATCATTAAAAGCAAAAACCAAGGGTGTAGAAGTTACCTGGAGGGTCTAAACTTCCAGAATAACGAAGATTTTAACAATTTAATTAAGGAATATTCAAATGACAGGCGTAGAGAAACGCGTGTTTCGGAAAAATGAAAAAAAGAGGTAAAAGCGCACGTATACAAATGTTGCTCCTCTAGCTTCCGAGATGATTTCAAATGCAATTTTTTGTTATAACAATTGAATACAAACATAGACTATTCGTTTACGTCATTGGTGATGATTACTTTTAACTTCCTGGGGGTCAGAGAGTGAATTCCAAATCGACAAGTCAAAAAACTAAAATTCAAACTTCCATTAGAGTTTTAAAAAAATGTCCAGACTTGTCCAAGAAATGGTTTGCATATCGAGATTCTACGTATCCTTAGCTTTCAGAATCATATTAGTTTTCATCCGACTTCTTCCGACTTTGGAAGTTACAAGGGAAAACATGAGCGCGGTTCGCTTAAAATCGAGCGCTTTCTCAGGCCAACTGACGGTTGAGGTTGAGCGCAACGGGCTGCGTTGCTGGCCGCCGCACACTGTGGTATTTGACCGAAAAACCTGGCCAAAACCTCAATTTTAAATTTTTTTTGGGGGGAAAACCAATGTGATATTCAAAATCTACACTGTTTTTTACCCTAGTAGACATGTATGTGCCATTTTTCGAGTTGCTCAATTTCCCGCGAAGAGACCACAAAGTTACCTATTTCTCAGCGATTATTTTGATATGTTTCGGCGCGCTACTCGTCGATCAGTTTACTTCAACTGTGCGATCATAGAAGGGAAGTTCGGCGGTATGCAACACATTTTTAGAGGTATATTCTACACAACTAACCACAGTATTTTCGAAATTTCTTTTTTTAGTGATTTTCACAGGAGGTCAAAAAGTGGTGTAAAAGTAAACGTTTTTTTCGAAATTCAGAGGTCGATTTCTTTTTACGCTCAACTGCGCTCAAGCGGTTTGAGGCGGAATGTTATAGTCCGAAGTGGGTATTTTCAGGATTCAGGGTTGACAGACTGAGGAAAACTGAGGAAATTGAAATTTTTGACCTCAAAGATGGACTTTTGAGCGATTTTCACAAACATGAGTGAGAAAAATTATGTCGATACTAACGACTGAAATTGTATTTTTCCAACAGCTCTGACC